GGGTATTTTGAGGTAGCTCAGATGCTACTTCAACATAGAGTGGATGTTAATCCCCGGAACGTTGTTGGCGAGACTCCTTTGCACCTGGTGTCGAAGCGCGCGTTTCCGAGGAGCGAAGACACTGGCAGTTGCCTCGATCTCGTTCAACTATTATTGAAGCATGGCGCGGAGGTGGATTCCCGGGACGGGAAAGACGCAACCGCGTTACACAATGCATCGCTCATGCGGGATCCCGAGGTCGTACGGGTGCTCCTTAACCATGGCGCATATGTCAAGGCGGAAGACAACCAGTCCCGGACCCCATTGCACCAGCTGTTGGAACCCGGCGATTACTCTGGCGCAGATCGTTTCGGGTTTGTATCCAAGAAAAAAGAAGATCGTTTCGGCATTACACAGCTATTACTCGAGCGTGGTGCGGACGTGAACGCACGAGACAAGGGCCACGAAACCCCGTTACACTTGGCATGTCACCTTCCTGAAGTCAGGTTGGCACGGATACTCCTCGAGCATGGTGCTAATGCCAGTGTCAACGCGGCGGACTACCAGGGCCGAACCCCGTTGCACCGAGTGTTGTGGGCCGGAGATCGCCCTGACGCGGATCGTTTCGGAGTTGCACAGCTATTGATAGAGCGTGGCGCGGACGTGAATGCACGAGACAAGTACCACCAAACCCCATTACATCCTGCATCTTACTTTGTAGAACTCAAGTTCGTGCGGATCCTTCTCGACCATGGCGCGAATGTCAACACAGAGGGAAACCAAGGCTTGACCCCGTTGCACCGAGTGTGGAGAGCCAAGGGTCACCCTGACAAAGATCGTTTTGGTGTCGCACAGCTATTAATAGAGCGCGGCGCGGACGTGAACGCACGAGATCAGGACCACGAAACCCCTTTACACCTAGCATCGCGCCTTGTGTCGCTCGATGGGACTTGGATTCTCCTCAAATATGGTGCACATCTAAATGCGGAGAACTTAGAGTGCAAAACTCCTTTCCAGCTCGCCCGGGAGGGTATAAGGGAAGAAATGAAAAATTGGCCATCAGACGACTCTATCGGGCGATCATGGCGAGCAAAATGCGTAGCATTGATGGGCCTTCTCTACGGATAATAAGTCAGGTCAGTAGTAGTACTCACGTGATTTTTTGTCACGTGCAAACCCTTATGATCACGAGATAGCCCAGCAGGGCGTCGCTGTTACTTTATCTTCAAGGCAACTGTGAAGGCAAGCGCAAACATTCGGCTCAGTCCAACACACTTTCGGTCTCGCAGTTAGTGTTTTATTGGATAAATATCATTCCTTGGTTCCTTTGTTTGAATGAGACTAGTTTTTCCCTGACGTACATTATCCCGTTTTTCTTAACAAGCGCCTGGAGTCTGTTTGCTCCTTTCATCATCATTGCTGCTCGTCTCGTGGCCGATCCACACTACAACCTATCCCCCATATCCTTGCTTGGCATACCTACACTTGAATACAGAAGTCCACTGATAAGACTATAAATAACGGTCCATCTGAATTTTCGACTACAGTGAGGGTGAGGCAATGGAAGGGGGAGGTAGTCCAGAGCTTTCGTCCATTCTCCACAGGTAGTCTCAGTCCCAGAAGGAGATACGCCAGCGATCAGCGGAGCGTCATTTGTACGCCCTACTCTTGGCCCTACGACCCGTGACCGTCACAGAAAGGAGAGGGACCCCAATACACGCCATGTGCCAGTGTCTCAATGTGTACGCTAACCTCGGCAGCGATTGTTCGCGCTCGTCATGGGATAGCAGCACCACGCCTGGCACGTCGGTTTGGGGGAAGATGGTGAAGACAAGTGAGGAATCAGCGAGGGAGAGCAAGCTGCCTACACAACAGACAAGAGGTCCAAAAAAGAAATATGAGTCATGCCCACATTTAAGAGCGGGGCTTCAGATCTTCAGAGTGCACGCCGTGCACACAAGAGCAAATCGGTTTCTTGTGGGAGGCCGGCCAGTTGCTGTGAAACCTCGTGGCACGGGTAGTCATGATGTAAACTGTTAGCTGCAAGGTTAGCTGAGCCTGAGCGAGACTAAGCGATGATGCATGATGAGTCGGAAGCGAGGCCAATCGTCAAAGCAGTCAATTAGATAATCGATAGGAAATATAGTCTCTACTTCAGACTCCCATCACTCTGCACTTAATCTCTATAGGGTCTTTCGATTCTCTGGGACTACTGTACTGGCGATCCATATGCGGCTGGATAGGTCGGTCGATCAGATCGGTTCCCCACGGTTCCACGGCCAAAATCATGTCTCCACCATCCCACGGACCCACTCTCCCTCCCCTACACATTGTACGGGCGGATATCACTCACTCACGCAGCCTAACTTCTACTTCTTATTTTTCTCCCTTTTTGACACCATTATTTAGAGCATCTGTGCCTGGATCCATTGCCTTTTTGAGTATAATCTGGTTTCCTCGCGAAGAGACTCGTCCCTCCCGTCCCTCCTTTCCTCGGTTCTCATTTCTCCCCGTTTAAATTGTCTGAGACGAATGTCACGCGGGTGCCCTGGGCGGGGTTTCGAATTCACGCGACTAAGACTAAGACTCGTCCTTCCCATCCTCCTTTCCTCGGTTCTCCTTTCTCCCTGCACTTTAAATTGTCTGAGACACAGGTCTCACTCCCTGTCACCGCTGCGTCAGCTTTCTTCCTTCTCATAGTCCCGTCATTACGCCTCTTCACAATCCATCTCCTGGATGTCACGTATATCACCGAGAAGGATGAACCAGTGGAAAGGGAAGGCGTTGCACAGTGAAGAGCCGAGGGACGATGGCACCGGTGGTCCCGCCGGCGTCGTCCTCCCTCTGAACATGGTCGGTGCAGGCATGTACGAAGCGTGAGTCTTCTTTTCTCTCTGCATTCCTGCGCTCTTGCAAGGAGCTGCGCACCGGCAGTAAACGCTCGACCCTAGCGGTTGAGGAGCATGTATCTGATTTCCCTGTCATGTCCCTTACGGCAGCCCACCCTCCCACTCGTCGTCCATCCTCCCCTTCCCCCCAAACCTTTCCCTCTTTCCTTCGTCCACATTCTTCGCCACAACCCAGATACACGCATGCCCAGATCAGCTTTCTCCGCGGGCGCTCTCGCGCACAGCTGAGGCGCTTACGATGTTGCGTTTGGCACGGGCGTGTCGCGTTGAAGTTTACCTGCCGTGATTCCGGCTGACGGCTGTTGATATCCCTATCACTCTGCCATCGTCGCTTGCGTGCCTGAGCGTGTGTCGTTTGCAGCGTTTCCTCCCCGTCCCTGTTGGTTTATTGTCTGACTCGGTCTTAGCATCTATACCGTTGCTGTCCAAGTCAGCGATAGCAACCAGAACTTTTCCCTCCAAGTAGACACGGGCTCCTCAGACCTTGTTGGCATTTACTTTATAAACCGTTCCCTTTGTGCTTACTGGCCTTCTCTCAGTGGATTGCATCAACATCTTGCTCGTCGGCTGCATGCTCCGGTAGCAAGGGGCGCCAGTACGACCCATCGGTTTCTGGTATCACGACAGGTTATAACTTTAGCATTACATACCCTGCCGGTGATGTATCTGGTCCCGTGTATTGGGATCAATTGCAGGTTGGAGGGTACAACCTCAGCAATCAGGCTCTTGGTGCGTGTCTCGACCATTATCCTCCTCCTCTTATTGACGTGCGCTCCTTTGTTCTAGCTGCTGCGACAACCGTGGATATGGAGCCGCTTGAGTACGAATTCGACGGCATCCTTGGTCTCGCACTCCCTCTCAACTCTATCATCGCGCACCATATCCGCGATGGTGCTCCATTTAGCTCCAATCTCTTTGGAATCACCCCAGTCGATTCCGCTCCGGCGTCTCGGTTCCTCTCGCTCTCTCTTTCACGACCTGGGTCCGGTGCCGTCCCATCACTGCTGGGCATTGGGCGGCATCCCTCAGAGCTCGTTCCCGATCCAAGTAAGATTCAGTACTCAACCCCGGTATCAGAACATCAAGGCATCCTTTTCTGGGGAGCAGAAGTTCGTGCGATCACCGTATACGCCAACGGCACTACGCTACCGGTCGAACTTGGCCATTCAAGATCGGGCAACGCATTCCCCGTTGCGGTGCTGGACTCCGGTGTACCATTCATACTCGCCCCCGGTAATATAGTGAAAGGAATATATGGCGCACTCGGCATCGGACCTGCGTCGGATGGCCAGTGTGAGATCTTTCTACTATCGCCCTGTCGCTGGGGCTATCTGCTGACAGAGCAATAGACTACGTACCGTGCACGACACCGCTCAACATGACCATAACGCTTGATGGCCAACCCGAGATACCACTTCATCCTCTAGACGTCACAACGGAGTCGCAGTCCGATCCGTCCTCATCCACCTGTGTCGGCCTCGTCCAAACCGCTGGTGGCCAGCCAGATACCTTTACCGACGTCGATATTATCCTGGGGGCTGCTTTTCTAAGGAATGTTTACACCGTTATGGCATATGACATTCCCAACGCTCGCGGCCAGTTTCCGCCTAATCGTAACGGTAGCAAAGAGTTAAACCCACGGCTTGGTCTCTTGAGCTTAACCAATGCCACTCAGGCATTACAAGAGTTCAACAATGACCGTCTGTCGCACCAGCAATTGTCGTCGACTGAGGGCAACACGCCAGCTTTGGCGCCGGTCACGGGTGTAAAAAGTGGCAAACTATCAGTTGGGGTCGACGTACTTCTTGGACTCGTCGGCTTCATCGGCGCTTGCGCTGCTCTCTTCGGCCTGCGCTGGTTCTTCGTCAAGCGTCGACTGTGCAGAAACGGTCCGCACGTCGACGTGGCCGCCAACGCGACAAACGACAAACGTGCGAGTATTGAGTGTGATGGCGAAGACACCTTTGGGAAAGCTGGTAAACTGAGATGACCAGATCAGAGGGAGAGGTAACTGAGTTGCACGTCATCGTACCAGTACTTAGAGGTGGCGGCCGACTCCAGATGTTGAATATGACACAGCAAGATGACTCCGATTGTGAAAAGTTAAGTATGTCCCGTTTAGCTCAGTTGGTAGAGCGCGTCACTAGTAACGTGATCAACGTCACATTGTCTATGACGAGGTCAGTCGTTCGAGTCGGCTAATGGGAAATATTTTTATTTCCCCGCGCCTGCATCTAAATTGTCATGAGGTTGTTTTCAACATTCGTATTGACCATCGACTATTGATACACACCAACGCCACCATACGGGTAACGCGTAGAGTGGGAGACACAAATAGAGGTGGTATGGAGACTGAGGGGCAATAAAAAGCGAGAGGGGAGATCGAAAGGCAGAGTGGGGAGAAGATAAGTGATACAGTGATAGGAATACACGAAGAGTCCAATTGTCCGTAATACATTTATTTTGTGGGGCAGCCGGCAACCCCGTCCTGAGGCGAGTCCGTTGAGTCGGTGTGCACGCAACCAAAAACCAATGTCCGTGCGTTGTCGAAGGTTCTACATCTTAAGTTATTCTCACTTCAAAAGTCTTTACTGGCACGATCTTTTCTATCTCTTGTTGCGTTGCTTGAGGGGGGTAAGCCGGGAAGTGCTTCAGATGAAGTGTACGAGCCAGACATCTGCACCGTTTGCGGCACGCTGGAGCCCGGCAAATGTTGTACGTCCGCCGAGGAGATCAGAGCGGCGCAGGCCAGCCGGGTCGGGCGCAACTGCGTTGCGCCTGTTGAAGCTCGCAGAGGCCGCGCGCCGGTGACTGTCGCTTGGCAGCTGGTTGAAGTCGGTTTGGCCGGCGCGCTCAGACAGCTTCGCGTGGAGGGCGTAGAGGACTTCGCGCACACTCACGGCGTGGTGACCGCCGGCGGACGAGGCGTAGAACGCGCCGCCAGAGACGCCTGGGATCTCAAGGACGAGGCACGGCGCGCGTGTTGAGACGGCCGGGTCGTTCAGCATGTGCGGGTTGCAGGACGGGTGGAGGCACGCCGCAGACGGGGGTTGCACAGCATTATAGTTCAATTTGGCCGGCCGGTGGCCGGTGTAGACCAGCAGCTCACTCAATACAGCAGCGTACCTGGAACGCTCGGGGCTCACGGGGGGCGTGGGCAGCGTATCTGGTGATAAAAAAAACATATCGTCAGCAAAGCGGGAGGAGGGAGGGAGGGAGGGGTGCGCACGTTGGGATCCGGGTAGCGGGACAGTGTTCATGTGTGGCGCGCCTGGTGTCGTGGGGAACTGCGACGCATATATATACCCGGACTGCGTCGGCCTGCTGGCAGACCCAGGCGGGGAGGGCAGACCCACAGGGTTTAGGACCGGGGTTACGGGAAGTGGTACGCCGCCACTGCCGCTGGCGCCCGAGGCGGAGGTCCCGGTGAGCGTGTTCATCGACCATGCGGGACTAGACACGTAGGAGGGCGTATGTTGCTTCGAAGAACGAGAAGAAGGCATGGCGAGTCGAGTCAAGGTGAGTCAAAAAGGTAGAGGAGACGGATGTGGGGCGGGAAGAATGTCGGGGGCGGCGCAATGAGAAGTGACTCCCCGACGTCTCGTAGGTTTTATATAGCGGTCCCGCCCATGTTGATTGTCGAACACAAAGCGCAACAACCTATTTATGGACCACCGACGCGGCGCAGCAGGTGGGAAGGGCGGAGGGCGGAAGGGCGGAGGGTTGGTGGCGACCAACAAGGGGGCGCGTCTCACAGTGGGGTCGCAGTTTGATGGTGGGAAGCCGCCCGACCTCGGGATATGCCCAAATACGGCACGAGGCGCGCTTAGCGATATTTTTTCCCACCGACGAGTATCCCAATTTGGAAATTCGCGCCTTCGTACCCCTGCTTCTCTGTGATTTTTTGATGCCGATCCCGTAGCCGACGTTTGCGATCGTAAGATGTGGCACCAGGGGAATCTAGCCCAGTCTCGGCCAGCGACGGTAGCGAACATGTCCGAAGCGCGTCGGGCAAAGGACAATGGGTTGTTTGGGCTTGCGAGGTGCACAAACGGCGCTTCGTGAGGCAAGTCGTGGGGTCCGAGGAGGCACATCGGGGTCAGGCGGTATCGTGGTGGGGTGGGAGTCCTGAACCTGAAGGCAGTGTTCGGCGTTCTTCCCGAGCTGTTCGCTCCCGGAACTACCGAAGTTGATCACGCAGCGCATCCATGGAACCAGTGTGCTGCTGCAGCCAATGCTCGAAAGAGTTTCAAGAGTCAGAATGTGTCCAATAAATTACTACTACTATGTGGCATCGTATGACTATTTGATGATACTGTACTCGGAAACCCAATCGAAGACGAAACAGGTAAACCCTCGGACCTCAGCGTATCAGCCTCAACCGCCTCATCTCGTGCTGCAGGACCTCTGCCCACTCGTTCTTTCTTTCTGTCACTGCCTCCGGCTCCGGTACTTCCCCAGCACTACGCCGCCGTCCCCGTGCACGTGCAGCACCACCACCACGGCCGATGTCGCCCTCAAACCTGACGCCGGACGCCTCCTGCGCGAGGTACTTCACCTCCGCAAACGAGTTGGTCGCCTGCGCACGGAGCCACGCCGCGTTGTCCGCGCGATGGCGCATGCAGTCCGGGGGCTCGTAGCCCCGTAGCGGGTCCCACGTGCGAGCAGCAGGCTCCTCGTCCATCGCGCGGCCGTCCGCCCACAGCGAGCCGCCGTGCGTGAGCGCGAGGATCTGCTCGATGCCGAGGGACTCGCCGGGCGGGATGGGCTCGGGCTGCGAGGGCGTGACGCAGGGCATGTCCGTCTCCTTGCGGAGGACGTGGTCGAGGTCGACGGCGGAGAAGAACGCGACGCCCTGCGGGAGGTCGTCCATGCCGAGGCGGAACGCGAAGAGGCAGCGCGTCCACAGGTTCGCGACCTGCAGCGCGAGGGCCGCGCGGTAGCGGTCGCGCTCCGCGACGAGGTAGCGCAGCTCGTCGTGCACGGAGAGCAGGTACCGCGCGTCGATGGCGTACGTCTGGATCAGGTGCTCCATTGCGACGATCAGCAAATGCAGGTAGTCCACGCCGGAAGACTGCACGACCCAGTTGATGCGCGAGGTCATGTAGTCCGTGCCGAACGCGGCGGGGAGGTACTTTTTGGAGAGCGCGTGCGTGATGCCGCAGCCGAGCGCGGGCGTCGTCGGGTGCTCCGAGAGCGCGATCTCCTCGAGCTTGTTGAACACGAAGCTCTCCGTGCCGCCGAACCAGAACTTGCGTCCGAACACGTCCGGCCGATGCGTGTTTTTGCCTTTGGTCGACGCGTACAGCTGCTCCGCGAGTCTCTGCGCTTGCTCGGGTAGCATGTCGGTGTTCGCCTGGAGCAGCAGCTGCACCGCATGGCGCATGCCCGCGCCATAGATGCGCGAGTAGTTGAACACCTTGGCCTGGTCGCGCGAGAGCCCGAGTATGCTCGCCGTCTTGGAGTGCAGGTCCGTGCCTGAGGCCTTGGTGCCCTCGAGTGTCATCCACCCAAGTGCGGTCGCGCCGTGCAGCCCGAACTGCGCGTCGCCCATCGCGCTCGAGATCCAGAGCTCCTCCGAGTCGACATCTGCGCCGACGATGGCGTACCCTGGTGGTGCGCGTACCATTGCCTTGAGCTCCGAGCCGACACGGTTCTCCTTCGCGTTGCTCGCCGTCAGCCACGTGCGCTCGATCGCGCGCCGCGTCACCGTGCCCATCGTGATCACTTGCGGGATGATGATGCCTGCCTTGCTGCCCGGCGCTGTGCCGACGCCCAGACCCATATCAAGCCCCGCGCGTTGCCACACGACCATCTGCTTCAGTACGCGGTCACGAGCGCTGATCCAGTAGCTGCATTGCGCGTTCATGTCCAATGCGCTGCGCGCCTCATCCCCGGGACTCGTGAGCGTCCCGTCCTGCGCATACTTAATGAACGTCTTGGCTAGCGGGCTGCCGACGTTAGCTGATTCCCCATCCTTGTGAGGTAACTTGTAGAACACGAAGCCGTCGTGCAGTACAAGCGCCTGCAGCACCTCGTCAGTTGGGTGATGGAAGGTGAGTGGCGCCTGGCGCGTCTTGAATGCGACACCGGGGGATACGCGGAACGTCCATCCATGTTCGCGGGAGTGAAAAAGGGGCCAATCCTGCCAGGACAATCGAAGCAAAAGTGGCGCAATGCGCGTGCGGGGCGTGAGGTCAACAGTTCCGGGTGGGAAATCCTTCCTCGGCCTGGAAAGGTCCCAGTACCACTTGGGCCACATGACTTTAGGTGGCTTAGGTGGCTTAGAAGCCTTTTGCTCTGACGAGTCCGTTGGCATGTGCTGCACTGGCGTCCAGTCGAGCTGCTTCAGCCAAGAATCATTCGAGGCTGCAGCGGACATTGAGAGGTCTTTGGCGAGTAGGAGAATCCGTTTGGACACCTTCTCTGAATGGTCTCCACTGGCGACAGCGAGAGCTAACTTGTGTTCGTCAGCCATCATTTTTCCAGATTGGAGCATGGTGAGGCCATTCGATTTTCCAAGAAGGCTGAGGACCTTTGACTTTCCAGGCACAGGCGGACGAACAATTTGGCCATCGATGATAATGTGCCATTTGTCCGACGTAGAGTACTGAGGACAACGCCCATCGAAAGAGAGTTTGAAGAGAAGAGGGAGGGTGCGATGGATAATTTTTGAGTTGAAGGGGCCAAGGGACAGGAGCTCGCTATACCATGCAGGGACCAACACATCGTCGTTGGCAGCAGCGACCTAGGTCATCGTCAGCGCGCCTCGACAGTGAGTAGGAAAGAAACCCACAGCTTCCGAGACACCAATACCCCTCGACTTTCCGGCAACCTTTGGGGTCCAGTCCAACTGCCGCAGCCAGACGTCATCCTTCCAGCCTTCGTCTTCCATCATACCCTTGGCCTCCACCGCGAGGTCGACGAGCCGCTTCTTCACGCCTTCATCCAAGTTCCGATACGTACGCTCGGCGTTCTCCAAGTAACTCTCCCACTCCTGGTTCACCGGAAGGAAGCTCGAACCCATCGTTAGTATGCCGGAGAAGGACACCGGGGTAGGGCATGACTCGAGAAATTCGGGGAGGACCTTGGCGTACACGCGGTGGGTGACGGACACGTCGTTCGCACAGTAGTTGAGATAGTCCTGTAAGCCGTCACGGATCTCCTGCGGTGAGCACGCCATAAAGTCATTGCGGACCGCCTTTTCC